ATAACGAAACGAATTAGTCATGTAAGATCTTCTATATTTGTCTTGAAAGATACTTTATTCAGCATGTTTTGTGTGGAAATGGTCACATTGTGTGGCCGCTTGTAACGAGTTTCCTCTACAACACTGACGAAGTGACTCCTATAGCTTTGATCGAGTAATATTGACAAAGTAACCCCTGTAATGCCTGTCTGAGTAACCCAATATCTATAACCAATACTCACTCCCTCAGTTTTTTTTTAAGATTGAGTTACTATTTTTGTCAGGTTTTTTATATATATATATATATATATATATATATATATATATATATATATATATATATATATATATATATATATATATATATATAATAAGCTAGAGTTCTATTTTTTGAAATATCATTCAGTTTAAATTAATAATGCATCTTTATCCACTAATGTCCCTAAGCTACTCTTTCTTACTTTATCATTTTTCACTCCTCTAATGGTCCCACTCCCTCTAACACCACTTTAATTACTTTTCAATATACAAAGTATAAATAATAACCTTATCTATTACCCCACTTACATCTTATTTTATTAAGGGTTTATTAAATCTTCTAAACTCCACGCAATCTCATCAATAACATATAAAAAAACGGAAGGAATACCAAAGTAACAACTGCTGACATCATCCTATAATAAAATTAGACACATGTCATGTTGTGACTAAATATTCTCCCTCCAAAACTATAATTGATGTCATCATTTTATAATTTTATTTTACTTTATAAAATTCTAATCAATTATATTATTAGAAGTATTAATTTCTGAAAATTAGTCTATACTCTATAGCAACAATAATTTAATTTTTCTCCTTCAAGTACTCCTTTCATCATTCAATTTTTCTACGAATCCTGTTTTATCTATTTTTTAAATATTATGCATTATTATTTTCGAAAATTTCTTTTTGTCTTGATTTGGTATAAAAAAATAAACAAATTTAGAAAAGTTTATCTCGTTCAAATTGTGCATCAAACGAGATTAATCTAGTAACACTAACGTAGTAATCCCCATAATGATTGGGCACATCGCGCATGACCACGTATAAGAATTTTTGTACTTTATTAATATTAACATTTTATAATTTTTACAACAATCAAATTTAAGAGATTTGAGCTATAAAATGTGCATCGATAAGTGCAAAGTCCCTAATGTTATAAAAAAACGACGAAAGTATTAGCTATCACATTGGGTTTTCTGGGAGGAACGACGGGACCCTCAAACTTGCATATGTGTTGCTTTACGCTTGAGAACGTGGTCGCGATGTGTGCATTCACTTGACTAGGTCTTCTTCTTAAACTCATATTGGGTTGTCTGCCTTTGTAGCGTGGCGGGGTTGTGACTGATGCGACTCATTGTAAGTGGGTCAAGTATGAATCTAGGTGTTAGACGATTGGGTACGATTTCCTTCCTTTCTCTTTCTCTTATCTTGGGGGATAAGAGAAGGAGGCAGCTGCGTTGCTAAAGCGGGTCTAGAAGTTCTTAAAGACTCAAGAAATTGAGGCATATGTTGCTGCTCATATCTTCACTATGGTAGGATTTGCTATTCCTAGAGGAGTGGAGGCTCAGATTGTATCTCAGCTCCCCAGTATTTTCTTGTAAATCGATTGACTTTGTAGGTTTTTGGTGATTTGTTGCGTGAGGTTCATCTCCGTTGTCCTTCTCTCTCGCGATGGGTTGAATTCTGTTACTATACTCCAACCAGGTTGTTTTACGAGGACCGTATCTTATGGTCATGTCAGGGAGTGCAACAAGGTAATCCTCTAGGCCCTTTGTTTTTTTGCTTTGGTTCTTCACCCGTTAGTGTGCCAAATCAGGGATTCTTTTAACTTATGTTTGCAAGCTTGGTGATGGTACTATTATTGGTGATACCTTAGTGGTAGGAAAGGTTTTGGAGTTGATTTTAGCAGAGGGACCTCGTCTCGGACTCCATGCCAACGTTGAGAAAACAGAGGTATTTTGGCCCTCAGAGGACCCTCGTAGCCGTCTTGTCGGTGTCTTTCCTCCAGATATTGGTCGTCCTGTGCATGGTGTTAAGTTGTTGGGTGGTCCTGTCAGTGGCGATTCCTCTTTCTGTGGTGAGCTTGTTTCGCAGAGAGTGTCGAAGAACGTTGTGCTAATAGATGTTGTTGCTAAGCTCGATGATCCCAATGCGAGTTGTTGCTTCTTCGTGCGTGTACTGGGGTTTCGAAACTCCAATTTTCTATGCGCACTTGTCCTCCTCGTCTTTTTGAAGGCGCATATTTCTTTTGACGTAGCCCTTCAGGCTTCTTTGGAGCGCATTATAACTGCTTTGGGGCCTGGTTTGGTGATTGGCAATGGCGGCTTGCCTCCTTACCTTTTGCTTATGGTGGTTTGGGTGTCTATTCGGTTGGTGATGTTCGACATTTTTCTTTCCTTGCGTCACGTCTCTAGACTTCTAGTCTACAGGCTACGCTTCTTCGCAATTTTGGTATTGTTGGTCTGGGACCGGCCTTCGATGGTGCTCTAAGTCTTTTTAACAAGACTGTGGAGGCTGACCTTATGAGTAACCCTAGTGAGATCGCTGCCCCCAGACTCATGAAAAAATTGGCAGATATATATTTCACAAAGGTCACTTCACCTACAGAATCCACTTTCTTCTTATCTCCGCATTAGGTTGCCTTATGGAAGTCCCAACAGGGGGATCACTCTTCGGCCTGGTTGCGGACGGTCCCGATATCGGGTTTAGGTCAGACTATGAATGGTAAGACTTGTCGTAGTGTTCTTTGCTACCGGTTGGGTGTTCCTTTGTTCTCCATTTCAACACCGTGTTCTGCTTGCTCAAGGGTTTTTTATGGGGATCATGCAGTGCTGGGATTGTGGGTATTAAACATCAGCACAACGTTGTTCATGACACCCTAGTTGACATTTGTTTTCGGTATGAGATTTCTGCTAGAAAGGAGGCTAACGTTGGGTTGACTGGAGGGAACGATGGGGCTCTACGACCAGCAGATGTGCTGCTTTATTCCTGGGATAGAGGCCTTGATGTATGTGTTGACTTGATGAGGTCTTCACCTTTAACAAAATCGGGGTTCACTAACTTCGTTCCTGGCCCTGTTGTGTCGGCGGCGGCTCAGCGGAAGCGGGACAAGTATGGGGCGCGTCGTAGGGCTATTGGATATGTTTTTCTTCCTTTCTCCTTTTCTTCGTTGGGGGAATTAGAGAAAGATGCTATTGCGTTGCTGAAGCGTGTACAGGCATTCGCTAAGACTCAGGATATTGGTGCTCGTGCAGCTGCTCACATTTTCAGCAGGATCGGGTTTGCTATAGCTAGAAGGGTGGGGGCCCAGATTGTATCTCGGCTTCCTACCAATTTCTTGTAAATTGATTGACTTTGTAGGTTTTTTGATGATAATAATAATAATAATAATAATAATAATAATAATAATAATAATAACAACAACAACAACAACAACAATATTTTTGCTTTTATTATCATCAATATATTATAAGTTGAAATTAAATAAGTACATTTTATATTATAATTAATAATTTGATACCAAAATATTTAAAAATATGTAGAATAAATCCATATTTGATACTAAAAAAATAATTTTTGTACACATTTTTTATGAAAGCAGCCAAAGCTATCCTAATTTATTTATTATAAATGCAAGCATCAACATCAACAATATCATCAAAATTATTTGGGCATCCTTCCACCCACGCCCTTGTAGATCGAATGATCTAAAGGACTAAGGTGAGCCATCACATGAGATCCTTCATTAGCCTCCCTGAACACATTATTAATAGAATAATACTATCAAAGCTACTTGCAAGTGTTAAAGCTTCTTCGACAATGGTTCCTAGATATGACCCCTTACATTGTCTTGAATGGAGCAATTCAATCACTTGTGGACTATCACCTTCTACCTCAACCCAACTACAAAAGCATTGCAGAGCCATATTCAAGTAAAAACAACATTGTCTTTGCCTCTAATATACTCGCAATTCACGATTGTCGAATTTACTAGAACTTACTTGTATCAAAACACCAGCCATGATGGTCTCTAATAACCACTCACAATCCAACCCCATTCATTGAATTTTTGTAGTAAATTTTTAGGTTTGAATTTCAAATTTTCAGAAATTTTCAAATTGAATTTTTTTAAGCAAATTTATTAGGACCCACTCACTCAACCAATCAAAATTCATTATAGTGAATGTCTATACTTGGCTTTTCCGATCTTCCTTGATATCCATGCTGTAAAAGGATTGTAATCCTCTTAAATGCTGGTACTCTAACGAATTTGAAAGTATTAGGGGAGAATAAAAGTTAGTAAGGGTAGTTTTGTAACTTTGTCATTTATCCCAAACTTGCTTCCAATATTGCAGTACATACCAAATTTGGTATAAGAAATATTTATCTAGATCTCATATTCCAATTCCCTACCTAATCCTCCCTCATTCCTTTCCCTTAAAACAAATGCCTCGTAAATTTTTTTCACCGGACCCAAACCGACTTGCCAACCAATAGGACTTGTATAATGCAACCCAATTTGACCCATTACTCGATTAACTCAAACCGTTAAAGCTCTAACCGAATTATAGTCCTGCTCCCAAACCGACTCGATTATAGCCCCAACCGATTACGATTCTACCCAAATAAAAAAATATACATGTTTAAATCAAAAGAAATCAACCCATTATTTAAATTATATCAAAATCGACCCACCTTAATCCATCAACCAAATGAACACATTTTAACCTGAATCGAAACTGAAACATCAACTGTGCTATCTTAAGTAAATCACACATTTAGTCAACTAAAATGAAAAAAAGGGCGTTCTCACTATCGTTCACTTGTGAAAAACGGGAAAAGCATCGTTTCATTTCATGATTTCGTATTGGGGTTTACTAAGTTTAGGACAAATGAATAAATGATGATAGTAGTTGACTCCAAATGATAGTAATTGGCCTCGATGACAATATTTAATATTGTAAATAGTGCATTACCCAAATGTGTGGCATGCACAATCAGCTAAGGTACTGAACCAAATACACTTCTGTCTTCTTCCTTATTTGCTTCCTTTCATTTTCATCCCAGAAAAATTTTCATATATATTTCTGTCATTCTTAATTCTCTCTAATTTCCCAATTCAACAAGTCACTTTTGCATCATACCCACCACTAATTTTTGTTTTCCAGATCGTTTATGCTGTTTTGCTTGCCCAATTATAATTGTAAGTTGCCTTTCACTAACTTAATCTTTTTTTAATTTTGCTGCAAATTTTTGTTTAACTTGTTGAAGGGTAATCCTTTATTTTCTGTGCATTTTTCTGTCGTTTTCTTGGTGTAAAATTTTGGAGGTTTATCTTGTTTTGGGATTTTTTTTCATCGATTTATTTTGTGAATTATGATTTGGGTATTGAAGAATTGTGTGGTATGTTATTGCCAAACACCAAATTAAAATTAAAAAAATCAAATAAAAAAATGCTTGATACATTAATTTTGAGCACTTTGCATCAAAGATGAACTTCAGTACTACTAGTTTGGATGTACATATGAATAATCAAAGACAAAGGCGACACTCAAGTTCGTGGTGTTTTAATACCCATGTTTTTTAAAATTTGATTTTGGCAAATTAATGATTTACAAAGTATTTAGGGCTCAAAAGTTGCCAATTGATCCTATCAGAAGGAGGAAATTAGGATGTTTGATGCAACTGAGGAATTGGTTGGTGTTTGTTATTTGTATTTGATGTTAATTGTTGGGGGTTTCGTGTTGTTTGTAAATTGTGCAGGAGAAAATTGATTAGTTTGAGCGATGGCGACGGGGAAAATTCAAGCTCCAGTTTGCCATATTAGGAACAAGGATTATCATCTGGGTTTTGCTAAACATGTAGATTTTGTAAAGATTTCAAGTATCAAGAGGGTTAAGCCTTCAAGAAGTAAATTTTCGGTTATTAAGAGTTCGAACCAGGGATCTGATATTGCTGAGCTTCAGCCCGCATCAGAAGGAAGCAGTCTCCTAGGTAAAACCATTCTGTCAGTCTATTGCAGTGACAAAATGAATTTTCTCAAAATCTAGCTCTTTGAATGTCATATGTGATTCCATTTTTGACAGAATGAAATTCGAGGGATGATTTGTTAATTCTTTTGGATTGCCACAGGTCCACAGTATAACTTGTTCTGAACATATTATTCACTTGCATTAAGAACAAGACTGATTGCTGAAGAATTTCCTCTGGTGAAATCCATTGATGCATTACTTTTTAAGTTTGAATAATTGCATATGACTTTGCAGTTATGTCCTTTTCAATTATGCCAAATGTATTGGCTATTCACCATAGTTTTTGTTAGCATTTGTTTTCAAAAGTCTTGGTAGGAGAAAAGAAAAGAATGTACTGTGCATTGCCTAACTCTTTTATGTAGCTTCTAGGAACATATAAGTAACAATGATGCAAGATTTTCCTAACATTTTACGTCTCCATCTCACAAGAGAAAGGATGGAGGGGAAAGAAATATGTATGAATTTTGAGTCTAGTTATCCCTTACATGAACCCATTGCTTACTTTTTCTGTAAATATAACATCTATGTTGAGGGTATTAAACTGATCTGCCATTGAAAAGTTAAGATTGATGTTGTTTTCCCAACACTGATTTAGTTGATGCGTCTTGAATTTGGATGCAGTACCTCGGCAAAAGTATTGTGAATCTCCATATAAAACTGTGAAGAGGAAGACATGCACAGTGATGGTGGGAAATGTGGCCATTGGAAGCGACCACCCAATCAGAATACAAACAATGACAACAACGGATACTAAAGATGTTGCTGCAACAGTTGAACAGGTTCCCTGCCACTATACTCTTGTTGTTTAATATTAGTATGTGCCTAGTTTGAATTAAATATCCTATATTGGAAAGATAGATATCTCTTATGTCGGTGGATATTGCTCCGTCTGCTGGACTAATGGAGTGAATGTTTGTCTTGAATAATCTAATACTTGTACTACCTTTGATTCATATTATTTGCAACAGATGAGTTTGTATAGACTTGGGCAAATTTTGTCTATGAGTGTTAAATGGAGAGAAAGATAGAGATGCTTGTGATAGAGAGATAGAGAGAAACGACTACTTAAAAAGGAAAGAAATCATTTGTTGTAAAGAATATGAAACATCCATTTTTGACAATGCAAATAATATGAAACAGAGGCAGTAGTTGTTTTTTGACCCGTTGTATGTCAGTTGAGAGATAAGATAGTACAGGTGAGGATCAGTTCAATAGTTAATGAGAAAATAAATATTGTAATCACTACTATCTTTTATTTTTTCATATCTCTGATCAATGTCCTCAATCCTTTATCTAGTGATGGCGTAATGTATTTCTTTGTCAGTTGTTTGAAAATTGTGTTGAATAAAATTTTTAATTGTGGCACCCAAGGTTTTCAACATTTGGAATTCAAGTGCACTTAGTTAAGAAAGCCAATTGTTGGAGCAGTAGCCTTAAAATTCTCTTGCTAATCTACCATTAAATTCATTAATAATCTGAGCAAAACTAATTAGGGGTGCATATGATCACTAAGCGTCTTTTCTGAAAGTGCTATCCTTTTATAGTATTGTGCTCTGGTTTGTCTTCTTGACTTAAATCTATCATGGCCACTAACAAATAATGAAAATTAAGTTCAAGATACGAATATAGTCGACCAAAAATCCTATTTTGAAAATAAATTCTATTTACGCATAGGGTGCAGATTTCCCCTAGTGATAGTCAGGCTTCACTTATGTATAAATTTACTTGGTCTACTTTGAGTTTGATATACAAATGGCTAGAAAGGCATGAAAAACTTTGAAGTGTCGTGTACATATAGATGGCCATGGCAGATTCTGTACTCGTTATATGAGTTAGAAAATTTTCTTTGGTTCTTAGAGCCGGTCTTTTTTCCTCACTTTTACTGGCAGGTCATGAAAATTGCGGACAGCGGAGCTGATATTGTTCGAATAACAGTGCAGGGAAAGAAAGAGGCAGATGCTTGCTTTGAAATTAAGAACACGCTTGTCCAGAAAAAGTAAAGCTTTGCTTCTCTTAATTTTCCCTAGTTTTGGTTGTATAGTCTGTTTAGTTTTGATCTATAATTTTATGTATATGAAATTATCTATCAACTTGCTTTAATTTATTATTTATGTATTTTTAACAGCTACAATATTCCCTTGGTGGCCGATATTCATTTTGCTCCTTCAGTTGCATTGCGTGTTGCTGAATGCTTTGAAAAAATTCGTGTCAATCCTGGAAACTTTGGTATACTCTCAGCATTGGTCCTGTAATTTAGTATTTGTATGTAAGCCCCATAATCTTGATTATATAATTTACTTTGTGGGCATTGTGCCAGCTGATCGAAGGGCCCAGTTTGAGACTCTAGAGTATACAGATGAGGATTATCAGAAGGAACTTGAGCATATTGAGCAGGTAAAATCTCATGCAGTTGTCACCCAAAACATGCACAATAGAACAAAGTTAGAAATATGAGGGATGATAACTTTTGTTTTCTTGATGAAAAGTTTATGAAGATTGTAAGTTCTACTCTGAAAGTTGTTGATGCCACTGTCTATTATGTTATGTTTTGTCTAAAGTTAATGTAATTTGGTTGCATGCATATCAATCCAACATTGTTGGGTGTGCCAGCTTTGATATTGCTCAAGGGAACGATCAATATAGTAATAAGGTGCGCTGCCATAGACTCATAGATACTTTTCAAAGATCTATGTCTCAATTCTTGAAAGCTTTCGTTGGAGGGAGGTTAGGGAATTCTTAGAAGATGTCTTTCAGAGCTACTGTTATTTATCTTGTTTTAAGATATGAATATTGTTTTTTATCTTATCTTGTGTCTCTGAAGGTTCTTTAGACATGTGTATTGGAATAATAACAAAGATATATTAGAAATATGAAATTTCTGTAACCTGCTTTATACAAATAAAAGCAGTAATACCACCTAATTGGATTTCCCCATAGGTTGGGTCTGAGGAATTCTAAATGCACGGTGACAAGTGCATTCTTTTGTCCAATCCTACTTTCTAATAACAGGAATTATGCACAACTTACATTTCAAGATTTCACATTTAAATTTCAAACCAAGATTTAAGCTTTGATAAACATACATATAATACATCACACATGAAAAATCATTGTATTGATAGAATTGCTGTTTATTCAATTTTCTTATATTGTGGTTTCGTTTGTATTTATTAATTACAGTATAATAGTATATTTGATTAATTAATTAATCTATTGGGATTAAGTCATTAATATTGTTATTGTTTATATTATGTTGGTGTATAGTACTTCCTATTTTTCATTTTACCTGCAACACAAATTACTGGTACACAGTTCGAGGAAGAAGAGAGAGAAATTCAGGGAGTAGGAGAACTTCATTTAAAATAACCTAAATACCAATAAAGGGGTTGCATTATTAAGGTTTTAAGTTTTGTAAATTAATAAGTTGTCCTCTTACCTTCTTTATCCTCTTTCTTAAACTGTGTGCCAATTGCCAAGGGGGCTGTGTTGCAGGAATTTGGAAACAGAGGAAGTACTTGGTAAATTCACAATAGCATCAAATTTGTTCTAAGATATTTGTTCACATGGATGATTCTTATGTTTTCATGTTACTCAAAAATGTTCATGGCTGAGGATAAGAATTAGGCTAATATGTTTGACTGTACTCTTTGTTTCTCAACATTATTCAAGGTTTTTACTCCATTGGTTGAGAAATGTAAAAAGTACGGCAGAGCAATGCGTATTGGGACAAATCATGGAAGTCTTTCTGATCGTATTATGAGCTACTATGGGGATTCTCCACGTGGAATGGTAAGCATCACATGCTGTTATGTATTCATCTGTAGTTTGGTATAGAGTAAGATAGGTGCTGGATCAAAGTGAACTAAATCTAATGTCGAGGTTGGCCTTTTTTCTTTTTATTCATTTATTTTTTCCGCCTGTGACATTGAAACAGGTTGAGTCCGCCTTTGAGTTTGCAAGAATATGCCGGAAATTAGACTACCATAATTTTGTCTTTTCCATGAAAGCAAGCAATCCAGTTGTCATGGTTGAAGCTTATCGGTTATTGGTTGCAGAGATGTATCTGCAAGGATGGGATTATCCATTGCACTTGGGAGTCACAGAAGCCGGCGAAGGCGAAGACGGTAGGATGAAATCTGCAATCGGAATCGGGACCCTTCTTCAGGTACAGAGTGAGAATTTTTTTGTTGCTGATATATGTCCTCCCCACAGAAAGATTAATGTCATCAGTGGAATCAAGGAATTGATATAATTTAAGGAGATGCTTTTTTTTTAGTGTATATATCCATTGTAAAATAAAATTTACACTTATTTAGCCAGCTAAAAAAAAAAAAAAAAAAAAAAAAAAGGAATTTCAATAAGTTTAGATTAGTTGTTGCTTAGGTGCATTGTACTAAATCAAGGTGAATGAGTTTTATCGCGGATATTTGCTTCCTATGTGCTTTCTTTACTTTTAGCAATTTTCCAAAGGTATCATTAACTTAAATACTGTACTAGTGTGCTGGACTGTTCTCTACTGAAGAGCAAGGTTGTTAAAGTATGAGATTCCATCTCATTTCACTATTTCAGCAAAGAACTGTATTCTTTATCCTTACACTCTTTGTATCTATTCAATGAGTAGCAATATATGAGATGTTTATTGTCATAACTCTTAGGAGATATTACTTCTGTAGGATGGCCTGGGAGACACAATCAGGGTCTCGTTAACAGAGGCCCAGAAGAGGAAATAGACCCCTGCAATAGGCTGGCCAACCTCGGAATGAGAGCAGCTGAAATTCAACAAGGAGTGGTAAGATTAAAGTTTTCTGGGTTGATTTGATGCTAGGACAGTACAAAGTTTGAATATTTAATAAAAATTCTGTTTGGGGCTATAATTTTCTTCCAGGCACCATTTGAAGAAAAACATCGGCATTATTTTGAGTTTCAACGCAGAACTGGTCAATTGCCAATTCAAAAAGAGGTCCTCTTAAGAATCTTTTTATACGTTAGCACAGTCTTTAGTTACTATTTCATTCATTATCTGAATATGTTTTCTTTTGTTGTGCATAGGGTGAAGAAGTGGACTACAGAGGTGTACTTCACCGTGATGGTTCTGTTCTCATGACTGTTTCCCTGGATCAATTGAAGGTGAAATTCTCCATCAGATATGTTATTCTGTGTTTGTTTTTTTATAGTGTCTTTGTGTATATTTTAGGAGTATGTATATGCTCATTAATTTTAGTTGTACACTGTAATCATTGTTCTGTTACAAGTCAATATTTAATCTATAAAAGTGCTTATTTGGGTCTCTCTTGACAATTAGTATATGCCATTTATCAGGTATCTCTAGTATTGTTGGACTTTGTCCTTTGTAATACTTCAATCATGTAGCTGCGCTGTAGTTTTATTTATATTCCATGATTATTTTTGTTTGGTAGGATAATTGTGTCATTTTTTCTCATAAACTTATGCACTCATCTTTTAAACTGTAAGCATTTCATTAAATCTTTTGTGACGTGAAAAATGTGGGTTCTAAGGCCTTATCTTTATTCTTGTAATTATTTCTTCGAAATGTGGTTTGATTGTCCCAGATACTAAATTCCAGAACCTTTTAAAAGTTCATTGAGTTAAAACCTAACAAACATTTTGTCAGCTACTTTGAATCCTTAGTTCTAATTATGTTCGTTGTATTTAATTTCAGACGCCAGAACTCCTTTACAAGTCCCTAGCTGCAAAGCTTATTGTTGGCATGCCCTTCAAGGTAAATTAGAACTGAAATTTGAAATTTAATTACTCAGGCCAAAGATGATTGCTCTACTAATTGCCTGATAACTTTTATAATTACTATGGTAGTTTCCTGACCATATATCTGTCAATTAGGATCTGGCCACTGTAGATTCCATTTTACTGAGGCAGCTTCCCCCAGTAGATGATGCTGATGCAGTAAGCAGTCACCTTTTTGGCGCTTTATTTCTTTCTTTAGTTTGTTAATTCGATCAGCTCAAGAAAGCGTCAATTTACAACAAGTTTTTTAAATGCAAATCAATGACTTGATCTGCTTTGCCTTTTATGATTAGCGGCTAGCCCTCAAGAGATTGATTGATATAAGTATGGGGATTATAACCCCTTTGTCTGAGCAACTTACGAAGCCCCTGCCTAATGCGATTGTCCTGGTGAACCTCAAGGAGTTATCAACTGGTGCACACAAGCTTTTACCTGAAGGTTGTTTTTTTTCCCCCTCTCCATCCCCCACCCTTCTGTTCTTATTTCTTTGTATACGCTGATTTTCATGAATTGGAGTATTCCATTAAACTCCAAGATTGTTAATTTTCCAGGAACGCGCTTAGTTGTGTCTTTGCGGGGCGATGAACCTTATGAAGAATTGGAGATTCTTAAAGACATAGATGCTACAATGATTCTGCATGAACTGCCTTTCAGTGAAGAGAAAGTCAGCAGAATCCATGCAGCTCGAAGGTATCTTCTTGTTCGTGAGCTACATTATTATCTAAAGAAAACTTGACTGACCTTTCTAAAAACAAAATAGAATTTAGCAAATCTACCGTTTATGAAGTCTGATCATCAGAGCTTGTGTAATAAAGAGTGAGACAATGCAAAAGGCAATCACAAAGACAAATAAACTGCCGTAGGACTAATAGAGAAGAAAGATACAGTAGAGCATAATCGGAGAGAGGAAAATCTGTTTGCAAATAAGGAGGAAGAGAGAGACTGTACAAAATCTAGCTTCTATTAAAAAAGCCTTATTGATGCTGTGGCTTTCATAGTTAACTCTCTTTTTCTAGTAGATTAAAAAATTACATGATTCATAGCTATCTATACCTGAAAGAGTGAAAGGGTATTAATTCGGCTATATGATCTGAAATGTATGTATAGCAGGCTAGCTTCTTTGTTTTAAGGCATCAATTATGCAAAATTTTATGAAGGATTTTACTTCTCATTGCTGCATTTATGTTGGTTGTTCTTGTGCCAGAAATGCAGAATGTCAGTGTGAAATTTGTTTATGCGATAATCCTAAATTGAAATCTTGCAAATGCTAAACTGTGGCGGAGCCGGCAAGGGGCTGTCCCCCACTTTAAAAAAAAATAAATAAATAAAACTGTTTATATGCTTTTATTTTGCTGAATGATTTATACTAAATAAGATAGAGCAGCAGTCAAAGTTCCAACAATAGAGACTTGTTGTAGCGAGGACGTGGGATGAAACCTTGTTTTCTTTCTTCTTTCCCTTATTTTTTAATGTAAAATACAGTATTCCTTTTTTATTTGAATAATTTAAATTGTAGTTTTGCATGAATAATACCCCAAATTCTTGTTGCAGCCATCTTCTTTCTTTTTTCCCTTATTTTATAATGTAAAATATAGTATTCCAATAAGCATATATTAATGGAGGAGGAGTTTGTACATGATGTTGGATTATGTAGCTAAGTACTCCGTATTTCGGAAATTTAGAGTTGTAATACTTTAACTATTCAAGTATATGTATGTTCAAACATTTTTGTCTAACTAAGCGATTTTTATTTGTCCCCGCGGTTTGAAGTTCCTAGCTCTGCCACTTGTGACATATGAGTTGTTGGTGGATAAATGAGTACAAACTCTTCTGTATTTTCAATGCGGTAGACAAGTTATTGGTTGGTGATTATTAAATTGTTAATTTTATAGGTGTGACCCTTGGACATAGTTTGGTTTGTTTGAATTTTACTTGATATCCAAGAGTCAATTTCTTGTATCTTGTTATGTTTCACTTACCAATAACTACTATCCTTGCACATTGTAACTATATGAGGACGTGATTCTTGAAATATGCGAAGTCCTAATAATCTCTACGACTTTGTCATGATTATTTATTGGTTGAACGGTGTGGCTATGGTGTGATGAATGTCTCGTAATGAACTGTATGGAGGCTATGGACTCCTTTCTTAGCGGTATATCTCTATCTTAGCTACAAATTGATCAATCACTTGGTTAAATTTGACATGTGTGCGCATTTCAAAATGAACTCAATTGGTTCAAATTTTAACTGATGCAGTCATGTGTAATACTTGTATTGTATTACAAATGAGGCTTTACTGTATTCCTTTTGCTTTTCTTCTCTCTTCGGTCACAAGATTAAATGGGCTAAGTTGCTACAATTTGGTACTAAAATTTGCTACTTGTATATTGTTTCATATACTGAGTAATATTATGCTTCGATTCTTTATTCCAGCTCCAGCATTTATGCTAGATATGTGACAGTCTAGATGGGTTTTATAACTTGGACACTTCCTTTTTGGCCATCTTTTGGAATATTGATACTTAAAAGATTCATTAAATCATAAGCTCATATCTTTGGATTCTAATGAATGTGTCATCATGTTTGTAAGGTAAGAATTTATTAGTGGTAGACTCATTGGTCCATTGCCACATATGAAACTCATTCGAGTTTGAGCTTCATATCTAATGCCACTCTTTTCCTATTGTAACTGTTGCCCTCTTTCCACTCTCATTTCACTATTAGAGATCTGGGTTCATCATTTTAGATGTTCACACCATTGCAGGCTATTTGAGTACCTATCAGATAATTCTTTGAACTTCCCTGTAATACACCACATCCAGTTCCCCTCTGGGATTCACAGGTATTTCATAATACAATTTCTAATTTGAAGGCACCATTACAAGATTCCTCTTCCCGTATTTTCTATATTGTCTAATTTTATGTTCTCTATCAGGGATGATCTAGTCATTCGTGCTGGTACCTATGCTGGATGTCTTCTTGTAGATGGGTTAGGAGACGGTGTACTCTTGGAAGCTCCTGGCCAAGATGTTGAATTTCTGAGAAACACATCTTTTAACTTGCTTCAAGGTTGCAGAATGAGAAATACCAAAACGGTAAAGTTTCTCATGAGAAATGCTCTTTTGCTTTAGTACTTTTTAGTTGGTTTCTATAGTTTGTAGAAAATTGAAGGCAATTTATGTTTTTGTTCCTTGGTCCAGGAATATGTGTCTTGCCCATCCTGTGGGAGGACACTTTTCGACCTCCAAGAAATAAGTGCACAAATAAGGGAGAAGACATCGCACTTACCTGGCGTTTCTGTAATTTTCTAAAACTCGTCATCAAATGATGCTTGTACGACTATCAAAATAAAAAAGATAAAGCAGTCAAGATTTATTTTATGAGCGATTTGTTTTGTGCAGATTGCAATCATGGGTTGCATTGTGAATGGTCCTGGGGAAATGGCTGATGCAGACTTTGGATATGTTGGTGGTTCTCCTGGAAAAATTGACCTCTATGTTGGCAAGGTATGGCAATGATTGAGACTTGAGTTATTTAGTTACAGAGTACTTCATATGATTCTTCTGTGGAATCCTTCTTAGTGAGGTTGTACAGTGTTACATCTCTTTTTCCGGCATCTCGAAAATCCTTCTTGATGGAACATACTAACAAACTTTATTTATAGTTCCTACTCTAGTTGGTCCTGCTTATGGCCCAGGTTTGGGTTAGAATGTTAGATGTATGTGGCTTTGGACCTAGAATTTCCAGCATCCTCTTGTCATTGTCTCTGAAATGTAGCTTTTGTTTTAATTTAATAATCAAAATTTTTCTTATGTACAAATGAATACAATTACCAATTAAGCCCCTAGTGTCGTGTTAAGAACAAAAACCTGTTGCATGGGTCAGAATTGTCAGTTTCTGTGTTTTCAACCCAAGCCTGACCCCGTTGTGGGAGTCCTTTGCTTGGTGTTTGTTTACATATTACTCCTATAGTTCGAGTAGCCTGGCCTTGTATGAGCTGTGAAGTAATTTATCACATGCAATATATAAGCGGCCCTCTACTGAACATGGAAAAATAATCATTTGAACTGAGACCAATTTAACTGCTTGGCAATTCAACAAAGGGGGACTGAACAAAAGATTGCAAGGTGTAATAAATATGTTTAGAAGTGGATAGTTGCTGCTTCAGAGGTTAAAGCTATGCTGCATCCCTTTTTTCTAGTCTGTCTTCTGTTTCTTCTCCTTCACATTTATGACACTGTTGTGGCTCCTCCCTAAACATATGTTATTGTATACTAGTCTTCAAAAAGCTTGCTGTATAAATTTTCTGCTGGCTTGCACAGTATTACATAACTATTAAATTGTGTAAATAATTAGTTTATAACTCTGCAAAACAATTCCCATTTCTTGCAGACGGTAGTGAAGCGAGGAATAGCAATGGAGCAGGCTACAGATGCTTTAATCGGTCTAATTAAAGAGCATGGGCGTTGGGTGGATCCTCCAGTGGAAGAGTAGACAAATAATTATTGAGGATTTTTTTATAGGATTTAGAATCATGAAAAAAGAAAGCAATTTTCAGAGTCCCATCCATATTGTAGATTAACTTATAAGAATATATCCCCGTGTCACTTTTTGGGGGGGCATATTTATTACAAAGTATTAGGAAAATTGACAAATTGTTCTTGCTGTACAGGCTCTTATATATGAATGTAATTTGAATAATACACAGTTGCATTACATAAATTGTTCTTGCTTGTGCTTTGTAATCATATATTTGTATAAATGTAGCTATTGGTAATTTGGTATGTAAAACTAATTGTGAAACTATTCTATAATCATAAGAGATCAAAAAATTGAGCCTCATGGACAACCATCCTTTAAACTGCTGTCAAAGGAAGCCTACACTGTGAATCTCGTCTTCAGTAACTTAATTGTGAAACTAATATATGCAACACAAACAAAACTTGATGAACGAACTATATGATCATGAGAGGATATCAGAAGATTGAGCCCCAAGGGCAACCTTGATGAATACATCCTCCAAAGTGGTGTCTGCAAGACCCCATGCTTGGACTGTGAATCTCTTCTTCAGGTTCTCAACTGCCTTGAAAACATCAGAAATCTGAATTTCATGTTTGGGGATCTCAAACTTCTGGGTTCCTGATATGTGGTATATCTTTTGAGCATTTTGAGAGAGGCCTCTCACCATTGTTTCCACTTCTGCATCATGCTCTGCAGAGGTTGTCATGGTGAACACAAAGGATCCTCCATATCTTCCTTTCAGCTGCCATATTACAAAAACAACACACTAGTTATGTTATCTTAGAGAAAAAATTGTTGTAAGAAACCATGATGATGATATTGTCAATTAATGAATCTCATATTAACAAGGTCCAGCCTGAGAAGGTAACTTTCTTTGTCCTGTGACTGATGTACCACAAATCAGGGGAAACTAACAACGTCCTGTGACTGATGTACCACCAATTAGGGTAAACTATATTCTGTGACTGCACTGAAGTTTATACTCAAGCCTTGAGCCTGATAGATCTTGTTATAATGGGAACATTTGTTGTTTGAAAAATGTAATTTAATCTGCTCCAAACTTGTCTCACTTATGAAGTCACCAAGACTTCAGAAGTTCAGATCTATTACCTGAAGCTTGCTAAAATCCATTCAGCACAAAGGAAATTATGTAAAAAACTTATTCTTAGAATTATGAATCAGCACTGAATTGTGGATGGTCATGCCTTTGTACTAAAACCTTACAAAATACTTGTATGACGATAATTGATTAGTGATCAGAAAAACATAATGTCGAAATTTAGTTCCTTTGAAGCAACACCCTGGGTGTGATTGTGAGATATGCGGGTGTTGGACCATAAGGTGTTGGCAGAAATTTTGGGTTAGGCATGAGGTTTAGAGTACTGGGCTCATAAATCAAAACCTTTATAACGAAGTTACTTGTCACGTGCAGACCTTCTGACACAGTGACACTAGACAAATGTGTGGGTCGCTTGCTCCATACACTCGTTGAAATCAAGGCCTCTCCATTTGCTTTGATACATGATGATGTGCTCTTTGTGTCTAAATGAGTTGCGAGAACAAAGACAGAAGCGAACTTTATAGAGTAATATTATTGCTTTGAAGGGACGCCTTGCAGGTGCTAAAGCTTTATGTAGAGTAGCGCACTATATGTACTTAGCTTTGTGGATGGCCAAAGGATAACACGTGACCTGTGAATATTAGGCCATTTGGAGAGATCCCGCCACTATCCCGTCTTACAGCACAATTATTTCTAGTTCAACAGATTTCAGCTCCATAACTAAGCACGAGGAAAAATAAAGTACTTTTCTGGACTTCATCTAACATCCCCTAATTCAAGGTACTACAGTAACTTTGGCATTAATAACTTGTTCACATCAGAAGTAGAGATTTACCTGCTTAGGGCCTCCAATACATTGCAAGCTGCCATCAACAAAAATGCCAATCCGATCACACAGAACTTCTGCCTCTTCCATAGAATGTGCTAGAAGAAGAGAAAAAAACAGAGAGAATAATGGGGATCATATTCAGAAGATTAACCATTATGGTCCAGATATATAAACAATCAAACTCATAAAATCAGACACTAGGTTTTAAAACAAAAATATAGTATGTGTGTGTACTCGTCGAGTACATACACAATAGATATACATAAGAGTTTGAGCAACTGGCAAAATCTTAATAGGAGCTTTCTTGCATACATAATTGCAGAGAGAGAGAGAGAGAGAGAGAGAGAGAGAGAGAGAGAGAGAGAGAGAGAGAGTACTTGTAAGAATAATTGCCCTATCTTGTTTTGCTTGCTTCACAACATTCCACAGATTATTTCTTGAAGCAGGGTCTAATCCAGTACTTGGTTCATCCATGTAAACAACCTTAAATAAGTAACAGTATCATTTAGACCACCTCAAATCATAAGAGGATTAAGAGGTACAAGCAACAGAGTCCTGGGAACAAAAAACTAACCTTAGGGTCACCGATCAAGGAAATAGCAACACTAAGCCTCCTTTTCATTCCTCCACTATATTTTCCAGCGAACTTGTCACCAACACCACCATGATATAAGTTGACACTTTTTAAAGATTCTTCAACTGCCTGCAGTAACATAATCACATCAACATGAAGAAATTACATTCAATAAGGCAGCTTTGCTAGTCTTCCCATAACCATACCCACCTTATATTTTAGACCCAGCTAAAATTTCTATACTGACCACCTATGATGGGGATGGATATATAATTACATATCCACCATAGTAGGCATTAACAACCACTCTACCACCCAAGTGGATGTCCACTACGGCTCTACATATTCAACATCCTTACCTACCCAAGTATAAACCTATATTCACAACTGCTCTACCACCCGAGTGGATATCCATGTCCACGCTTATGCCCGCATATTATCTGCCAATTACAAATCCAAATTCAACTTGGGAATAATTTTAATATTTTTTTTTTTGAAAAGTTACTCCGTATAATAGTTGTGGATACATGGTGGGGTTCAAGCGGGAGAGTAGATGTGGGGCGGGGTGGAAAGATATGGGAAGGGTAGAATTTTTAATCTATCACTTACTCATTACCATGGCGGATATGAACTTTTGATTTTCATACAGCCATACCAGACCCTTACCAACCAAATTCAAACACTCAAACCATACCCACTCTAATTGGGGTGGGTATGATGCGGATTCCACAAAATTGTATGAACTTGCCATCCGTATTGCAATGACACTATATTTTCAACTAGCAGTTCCACACACAAAACAAAATCTGTAACAATGATGTTGTTTTGATAGTACAAATGATGGGCTTGCGTGCAGCCGTGCATTTCTCGCATAACACTCCCAAGTCCCACATTGGCGAGAAAAAAGATTGACTTAACCATATTTGGCCCTCGTAATACAGAAACAAGGCCTTCTCTTTTAGAATTATAGCTGTTTCTTTTTTCCTGTGGGCTAACTAGAAAAACTCCAATCCCACCAAAGTGGTTGTTTTGCAAAAGTTGTTAATTTAACCTCTTGAGTCTAGGATCACAAATTACAAGCTCAATCAAAGATGCCAGGGGTAAAAAAAAACACACACACATACACACAAAGAGAATACTAAGATAATTGAATTCCTAGGGGAATGTAATTCAGGATGCAACTCTTCTATCCTTTCAGATGTTTCATCAACTCATCAAGAATGCCTTCGTATTCTTAATCAAGATACATAGAGTATTCAAGTCTTTTGACCATCTAGATACTTTTGACAAAAGTTTTGCCAAAAACCAACATGACTACATATAATACATTGACCTGCATTGTTGCCAAAAAAACTGACCTGCATTAAGGCAGAACCTTTCAGGTTTTTCAGGCGGCCATAAAAAATCAGGTGCTCTCTTCCGGTTAATGTCTCCCAAAGTAAGCTGAATTCAAAAGAGTGAAAAGGCATAGTCCATATCTGTAAATATTTGGAATACAATTGAAATAACACATACTTAACAAGGATTTAAAACCAAAAACATACTCATGCTGGGGGCAAACACCCATGCTGGTATATATTTCATTCATTTGATAACGAATGTCTGAACCCTCGACATAAGCAGCACCAGATGTCGGCTTTGTGAGTCCAATCATCTAAAGGAATAGAAAACAGACATTAACAATCATTTATTCCATTCTGTAAACAATCTGTCCATAAGTGTATTATCTTAACAAAAAGTCCCTCATTCTTATTTCCACTCACATTATTTAGTGCTTCTTATATATTAGTATTCCCAAAATAAATCTCAGCTAATTTATTAATGTATAGTTTAGTGCTTAGTAGATTTTTTTTATTTCCAAAATAAACCTCAGGTCCTTTAGTATCGAAGTTTGCTTACAAGAGCAAACAATGATAATTGAAAAAAAGAACAGGCATTACATATGCAATTGATAGTGCAATGTTTTCGGGTTTTTTTTTTTTTTTTTTTTTTTGGGGGGGGGGGGTGCTATAAGAAAAGCGCAGACTAAAAAGATTCAATCTTATCAAACATAGGTTAAAAGGTGATACATAAATAAGAAGTCATGTACATATGTTGCATACAAACAGTGCAGTGTTCTCACCATGCTGATGAAGGAGGTTTTCCCAGCACCATTTGGGCCAAGCATCCCAAAGCATTCGCCACGTCGCACGGCAAGAGACATTCCTTTGACTGCGAGCTTTGGAGGATTTCCATCCCTTCCAGAATAGATCTTTCTCAGGTTGTTGCAAATTATGGAAATGCTAGAACTTTGTTCTGACAACAATTGCTCCACCCTCTCCCTCTGATTGGTAAGGAAAAAATCATGAGCAAAAGTATACAACTAAAAGATCGCAACTAAAGACATCTGTTGATTATTTTCTATTTCCTATTCTACTGTAAGTAACTAAGTTAAGCACATAACACATGCTAGGTGCCTAATACTGTAGTTGCATTCATATTTCAAATTATCTACGAACTTCTATAATAACAAAGACCACTTATTGACAATTTGCATTTGAGTGCTTCAGCAAACTGACATCTAAAATGTGGAAAGCTAGACAGAGTCATGCAGCACCAAGGAGAAACATGAACTTAAAGCTTAAAGAAGAGCTGCTAAAAGACCAAAACAATGAATTGTTTATTTACATAACAAATCATCTTTAGAGATAGAAAACATAACACCCCTAATGTTTTCTATAAATTAACTAATGGC